CGGTCCCGGCTCGCTGCAGGGGGGTGGGCTGGGTGGCCTCTGAAGGGCCCTTCCCACCCAGACCGTTCTGTGATTCTGTGATCTTGATTCAGCTACTTTCACAGTCTGTTTCCTGTGGTTTTCTTCCTCCTGTCTTAATAGCTAAGCACGCTACGTTTTGGTGTCTCAAGCTGAATGTGATCCTATTTTTACATTTGCAGATTGAGGAAGCTCTTGTACGGAGAAAGAAGATGGAGCTCCTTCAGAAGTACGCCAGTGAAACCCTCATGGCACAGAGCGAAGAAGCAAAAACACTTTTAGGATTGTAACATTGCACCAGTATGTCCTGATTTTTGTATGATCCATCTTCAAGCGACAGATTCATATATTCTGGTAGCAGTCACGTTTAGCTCTGAAAGTCCCTTTGGATGTGAAGAGTCAGCTGATGAAGTTACAGTGTATTTTGTAGAAGGAAAACCATCGTTTTGGTTTATCCATGGAGATATCTTGCACTTCAGTGCTGAAAAAGATTAAACCTAGGCTCATTTGTCTCTGTGTCTTCGGTAACTGTCTTCAGTCCTTTTGCTTTGTCAGATGGTCAGTGCAGTGGTGCCTCTCACAGACAGAACCGCAAACCCCGTGACTCCTTGAAGCCTGAGGGAAAACCGCCCGACCTTACTGCCAGTTTGTCTGCCGGGTCCTGGCTGTGAGTGCCCACATCTTTATCCTGCTGGTGTTTTCTGACCTGACTCTGTTACGCCTGGTTAGTTCACCAGAATGGCCTAAAACCTGTGTAGAGACACCTTGGTGGCAGGTCTTAGGAGTGACTTGGAAGCCGAGTTGGGTCTTTAGCTGACACATGCAGTGTGTCTAAAAGCTGTTACCCTCTTTGTGCTTTGTAACCGTGCCTGGGTGGGTTGCTTAAACGCTGGATATTTCAGCAGCTATTGTAAACACTTCCAACTTTGCAATACCTTGTTCGAATACTTTTAGTAAAACTTATTTGCAACCTGATGCCTTGCTTCATTCTAGCTCAAAGGATTGTGTTGTTTCCTGAGTCGTAGCCAAAGAACGGGATCAGCAGCAGCCATCAGCGTAGGGATTCGAAGCTGCGCGTCCCCTGCTGCTCTTAGCTTGTCTGTCCTGTGACAAGTGGTGGATTACAGCGGAGCCTGTTTAGGGTCTTACGGGTGGCTGACACTGTTATATAGGTCTGAATGAAGGAAATCTTAAATGGGACATCTGCAGCCACGGAGTGGAAGTGCTAAGTAAAGAATGTGGTATTTAACAACCAAGTAACCATGTCTGGGACTGTTCAGAGATCCTAGATACTATTAGTATTCATCTGTGTCTATTGTAAATAATCCACTCCAGAACAATCAAAGCTCTAAATTATAGAGGCAGTCTTTGGCTTACTTGATGTAAATGATTAAACAAAAAAAAAAATCTTGAGAAAGTGGGAAGCATAGCTGGAAATTCAAATCTTAAAAAAAGGGAATAAATCAGAACCTCAGGTACTGATAGCAAGCAGACAACTAACACTGCAAACACATTCTGCTCTTCCCGTTAGCAGCGTCGCTTTCTCTGCTTTGTAATACAGGCAAAGGAGTGTGTTTACAACTAGTAGCATTCTGTGTGCTCTGAGTTGCAGGCACCCATCCAAAGCTGGTTTTAGTTGGTGCTGCTGCCCATTGAGTGTTCTCTGTTCCTGGGTGTAGGGCAGGCCATGTGCTTTTACCGGCGAGCTGTTTGTGTTGCTGCGAGGGGCAGAGGTGTTTCGCAGAGTTCCTCCCCTGAAGCCTCTGGCCACCAGGAGCGAGGGAACCGGCTCCCTTCCCCTCGGGTGTGCCAGCGGGTTTGAGGACGGGCAGCGCTGTCAGACTGGTGTGCTTCCCCTGGACGCGAGGGGTGACGGCTGCGTGGCCTCGGCCGAAGCCGCTAGCTGAGTTCCTGGAGCTGCGTAAACGGGCAAGCGGTCTGTGAGGCCCTTGTCACGCTGCGGGAGGGTTGGTGGCAAGGCCATAGGGCAGGGGGACACGACACCAGCGAAAGAACCAGAGCAGCCAGAGGAGC